GTATGTATGTATGCATGTATGTATGTGTCTATATATATAGATACACAAAACTACAATGGCACCTCGCGCCATGCACATTGGTCCTTGAAGTGTGGCATGCAGGCGGAATAGCAGGAAGGTCAAGCCGACAATTTAGCGATAACTCCTTGTTGCCTTTTCCGGCATCGTCGCTATAGTAATGTGATTCGTTATCCTTCCTCTATGCTTCTTTTTCCTCAGTTTCGTCATACCCTGTACATTCTCCACATCTTCCTCAGCCCTTTTTTGCGGAGGCTCCTCCTTGGAGAGCCTCTACACAAATTTTTCAGGCTTTCTTAAGGCCTTCTGGAGGCCTCCTGGGCGTGTTCTGGGGGCCTCTGGGGGCTTCCTCGGGCCACCCTGCCTCCAACCGCGGTCTCCCTGAACGACCAGGTCACGATTTGGAATGCTTCGGAGCGTGTCTTGGGGCAATCTTAGGCCGCCATGTGGCTCTCTGAGGGCCATATTGGACCCGTGTTGTGCCGTTTTGGGGCTCTTTTGGACTGCCTGGAAGCCCTTTCGGATGGTTGTGGAGCGATTCTGGAGCCTCCCAGGCGGTTTCGGACGACCTGAAGACCGCCGTCTTGGAGCGTCGGGAAGCCGAAAAGAGGAGAACCCAAAAATTCACCAAAAACCAACAGAAAATCAAGGATTCATGCCTCTTGGGGCCTTCTTGGGAGCGCTCTTGGAGGCCTCTTTGGGGCCGTCGTGAAGGCCTCTTGGGCCGTCTTGAGGTCACGTCGGTCACTCTTGGAGCGCTCTTGTGCTGTCTTGGGGGTCTCTGGGACGTCTCCGATGACCCCCCTGATCGCCCTAGGTGTGCTGGGAAGGCTTGGCAAAACGCCCTGCGAGGCCCGGGGGGCCGCTTCGAGGCCCGTCCGGAGGGTCCCAAAGCCCCAGATCCCGGGAATTTGTTTTTTTTGGGGGGGGGACGGGTTTTCACCCCGCCTGGGCTTACAAACATACAGGAAGAGGAATCTCTCTCTCTCTCTCTATATATATATAAATGCCTTGAGCTGGAGGTGAACGCTGTGGGATGTGAGCTATGTGATGCAAGCTGGGTCGTGTACGAGATGTGGTCTGAGCTCTGTGGTGCACGCTGCATCGTGGAAGCTATGGGGCGCAAGCTGTGTGGTGTCAGCTCCACGCACAGGGCGCCCACGAGCGCCCGCGGGGCGGCGCGGGCGGCCTCGGCGGACATCCCAAGCGCACAGGGGCGCCCACGAGTGCTCACGAGGCGGCAGCGCGGCACCACCTCGGCGGACGTGCCAAGCGCACGGGGGGCCCACGAGCGCCCACGAGGCGGCGGCGGGGATCACCCTCGGGACCCGTCCAACTGACGTAAGGGACAGAAGTGCAAGCACTGCGTGAGGGGAAACAGCACCCGCCCTGCTCCTCCTCATCTCCTCCTCCTCCTCCTCCTCCTGATCAACTCCTCCTCCTGCTCAGCTCATCCTCCCTCTCCTCCTCCTCAACCACCGTCGGGTGCGCCGAAGAGGTGGCAAAGAAGACGGGGGTTGGCGCATCGTGGTCCGGGGTACGTGCGCGGACGAGGGGGCCACGAAGATGTCATGGCCCAGGCCAGCATATCCACAAACACAAGCACACTCAGTCCTCCGCACCAACTCTTGGACTCCTCCTCCTCCTCCTCCTCCTTCCCTCCTCCTCCTCATCACCACTCTTCCGAACAGAAAAGCTACACGAACATGAGGTACATTTCGGAGGTTCTCCCTGGCTCGCTCCGCACGCCAGGGGCGGCGCTAGGGGCGCTGCCAGGGGGGAACCACCATCCATATCAGAAACCAACGCGGGCCCCCGACAATGTGTCAAAGTATGCTCGCCAACTCTGTTTCAACATAACAAGGGTTCTTACTGGGTCATAAAGATTGCGTGTGCCGAGAGATCTGCCAGCATTGCCATTGTGGCAGTTGCTGACGTTGCCATTGCTTTTCATGTGGTTGTTAGGTGGTTTGTTGTCGGTGCTACTGTCATTCATGTTTCGAGGCGTCGTTGGGGTAAGTTTAATTGTGGACGCCAGACTGTCTGGACGACCGAAACGAAAACATGAAAAATGAAAGCACTGCCCAATAATCCAAATTGTCCCATATGGACGGCGGCCAGTGTTGGGCAGGCGGCCTTCCGTGTCAAATGGACCACGTCCGCAGCGGCGCGGACAACGAGTCCTGTTCGACAACAACAAGAACTGCTGTTGGGCATCGCACCCACTATTCCGTACAGATGTCGATCGTCCCGAGAAATGGGTGCGGAAAACAGGTGGAAGATATCCAATACTTATGTTGTTTCCATCGTACTTCAGGACCACATCCCATGCATAATTTCGAGCACCCAGAAAAGTATCGAAACGATGTCGAACGAGTGTCTCCCAGGGCCCGACGCGTGAAAGCCCTCAAAATTCAGTACTTTCCTGGTGCTCGAAATTGTTTCTGGTGATCAAGGCTTAAGTATCGGGAGCGGCCAAGAGGGGGGTGTCCAAGAGGGGGGGGTGCAAATCATGACCGGCGGCATGTGCGCGGCCCAGCGGGGGGGCCAGGGACGTAATGAAATAAGAAGAGGCGCCATGAAATCTGGGGAAACATCATGGCCCCCGCCATGAAATCCCCCCCCCTAGTCATCACCCCCCTCTTTTCCGCCCCCGAAAGTAGATTGGAACATCATAGCCCGAGAAGTGGGTGCGGAAAACAGATGGAAGATACCCAACACATGTTGTCCCCTACAGGCAGCGGCCACCGCTCGGCAGGCGGCCGCTGGTCTCGAACGGCAAAAAGCGTCAGCGGCGACACCGAGACGACGAGTCCTGCCCGAAAGGACAAACAGTAGGAGCTCGACCACAGGAGACCTCAGAGGCGCCGATAGGGGCGAATAGCCCAGGGGAGAGCAACACATGTGTTCAGGTGCGCCGATGATCTATGTCTTCGAAGAGGCTGTCGGGCGAATACGTGTAATGCCCGCCCCTGGGCTACTCGCCCCTATCGTCGCCGCCGAAAGCCGTCCACAAGAAACTCAACGCTGCCCATTGATTTTTTGGTTTGGGCCCGTCACGCTTGCCACAACAAAACATCGAGACCCAAGAAACCTGGGGCAACCCGAAGGCAAGCAGGCGCGGGCTTCTGCTGCAAGACGTGCTGCCGGTCTCTGTGCCCATCCTTTCCGTAGATGGCATGGACATGCTAGAGGCCTCCTAGATGGGGTCGGAGTATATGGGGTCGAAAGATCGCGCCGTATCGGCGATACATCGGCGATTCATCGGCGATGCATCGGCGATGCATCGGCGATGCACTGGCGATGCATCGTCGACGTCGGCGCAGCATTGGCGACGTCGACCTGAAGCAAATCGGGCCCTACATCGAGCCGCATCGGCGAAACATTGGCGATGCGGCGCGATCCTCCGACCCCATCTACTCCAACCCCAGCTAGGAGGCCCAGACATGCCCGAGTTAATTTTTGCTCGACCGTCCCGGTGTATGCAATGATTGGGCGCCCGAATTATCCGGGGTAACTCGGGTCCGGGGTAACTCGGGTTTGGAATCCCGAAAAACGAACCCGAGTTATCCCTGACCCGAGTTACCCCTGATGATTCGGGGCTCTGAAATGATGTCTCCTTGGACCTCTCACAGGCCCGGTGGGAGAGCAAGCGCGCACTCCCTCGGAGCGCGGGGCGGGACCTCGGCCCGGGAAGGGGCCTCGAGGCGGAGCACTCGGGGGGCGTCCAGGAGGGGGGCGTCCAGGAGGGCCGGGGGGCGCCGAGGGAGTGCAAGATGGTGAGAGGAGGTGCCATGCCATCCGGGCAACAATCATGGCCATGGTCATCATCTGCCCCTCCCTGCCCCTCCCCCCTCGGTTGTCACCCCCCGCTTGGGCGACCCCGGTAAAATGACACCGGGCCGTTTGGCCAGGCAAGGGGCTCGGATGCCCAGAGCACCGTCGATCTGTGCCGTCGGGGATCGTTTCTTCTATTTCGGCGCCTGGGGCCCAGAGCAATTCGGGCCCCCTGGACGGGATCAGGACCTCTGGGGCCGCGCATGGAAAAAATCGAATCGTCGGATGTCTTGGTGCACAGTGTACAGATGCCACAGCTGTCCTACAGGTGGAATTATGTAGCGTCTACTGTCAGGAGCTGTTGCTCAGCGTGTCGCAGCGGCGGCCCCAGCGACACACCATGCCCTGCAAGCGGGGCCAGAGACGTGGTCAGCGTGTCGCGCCAGAAACGTGGTGGGCCAGAACCGGCGGCGCGATACGAGAACGCAACCGCCTTTGACTCGGCGGTGGACGAACCTTCCTTCAATAAACCACCCGTTAATGAAAACGGCCTAAGACCGAAACCGACTGACCTGGACCCGCAAACATGGCGGCCGCGACGCCCCCTCGCGAACCGGAAACGGCCAATTCGCTAATCGACGTGTCAAGGCAGGAGGTCTATCCATATGCGCCGAATTCCATCGACCAACCGACGCGGTGTCCACATCGAGCCTCTCCGACATCCTCCCCCCGCCGGCCTTTTCTGTTCTGACGGGCTGCGGCATGGGACGGCATCCATGGCTCAGTCTGGACCCCAACCCATCGGACGAAGCGGGGGGGGGTGACCCTGAGGGGGGGCATGAAGTCGATCCGTTGGTGCACCGAACTGCCGCGAACAGATGCCCCTCGCATGCCCGACTTATCCGCAACTAGTGGGAGCTGCCGGCGGCTGGGGGGGCATCTGTCTTGGGCGGTTCGGTGCAAAAACCGATCGAACTCACACACACCCCGGGGCATACAGACCCTTGGAGGGATCCCGAACAAAAGGGGTTGGCGAACCATCTCGCGCAGCTGGTCTTCGTGGCGCCTTCGGGCGCCCGAGGCGCCCATGTCTCGAGGAGCATGCCCAGTGGCAGGGCCGAAACCAGCGGAACACACAGCAGTCTTCGTACCCCTCCCGCTCTGCCAATCCCTTTCCCCCCACTTTCGTCCGACCCGATGGATGCCCCCCAGCGAAAGCGTGACTCGCGCCGCCCTGGGTCGCGGGGGAGTGGGGCGCGACCAGGGGTCGAAAATAGCATGAGGTCGGGCATGTCCTCCTGCAGGCGGATCGCGGAGAGAAAAAAAAGCGAACAAAGTAAAACAACAAGCAACACTCACCAACAAAAACAATAGTCAAAACGACTATTCCCCAGACTATGTCTTGAATGCTGTTTTTGGGCAGTCCTCCTGCACAGGCACACGCCCGACTTGAACATAGCAGGCAGGGGCAGCATGCACGCGGCGCACGCGCGCACACCCAGCACCCCGACGGTCCCGGGGCGCAGGCCTCTCGGGGGGTCGCCGCGGGCCGGCCCGAGGGGGGACCTCTGGGGGACTCTGGCACGCACAGCGGGGGCCGCGACACTCGTCACTGCACCGACCTCGCAGACGTGCTGCAGCGGATTTGTGCGCGGGTTTCTGCCACAGCACGACCCCGAAACGGCGAGCGAAAAACAGAGAGAGAGTTTCACGTGGACTGTTGGTGTATAATTAGTCGTCCTCCCGGGCCGAGACGACTCCGCACGAAAGTCCCTCCGAAATCCCGAACGAACTTCTCAAGCACACTCCAGGCCCATCCTTTTGTTTTCCGAACGGAATCCGCTCTCTGCGATGTTGGCGCCATGACGCTTGTGGGCATCGAGAGCTCGGCGGCTCTGCAGCGGCCGGAGGGGATCCTGGCTCAAGGCGCCCCCCGCCAGCTTCTCGCGCCACGCTCGGGCTACACGCAGGGCGTGGCCCCGGGCAAGAGTGACCCCTGGCGCGTGCCTCTCGGGGGCCACGTGGGGGAGGAGGAGGAGGAGGAGGAGGAGGAGGAGGAGGAGGAGGAGGAGGAGGAGGAGGAGGAGGAGGAGGGAGGAGGAGGAGAGGAGGAGGAGGAGGAGGGGGAGGGGGAGGAGGAGGAGAACTCGCGGGCCCGTGCTGGGGGGGGACCCCCTCCGGCTCGCAGCAGAGGCCACCCCGGCGAGGACTCGCTCCCGGGCGAGGCCGAGCCCTGGCCATCCCGGGGCTCCGGGGGGGCCGCCCGCGCCTCGCGCGCGCGGGGCCCCGGAGGCCCTCTCGGCATCCCGTGGGGAGCCGGGGGACCGGACCGGGTCCGAGTGGCCTCCCGAGCTCAGGGCGCGCACATCGCCGTCAGGCAGGGGAGGCCCCGAGGGAACACGGCCCTGGAAACGCTGGGACACGTTGTCGCTCCTTCGCGGGACTTCTTGTCGACGGCCCGGTGCCCGAAGAGGGCGCAGGGAGGCCAGGGGCCCTGTCCACCAATCAGCACCTCCGATGTGGGGCCAAGAGACAGAGGGGGCTCTGGGACTGGGAAGCCTTGACGCTGCAATCTCAACCTAAAGACCCCTTCCTTCGCCATGAAAGGAGCGGGCTTGAGGGCGGATGCTGGTCCCCAAGGGCTTTTTCCCAGGACGCACTCTGCACCCTGGGCCGTTGTCTGACAGTCCTGGGGACCTTGGAGGGCTCCAAAGGCCGAACATGGCCAAGAACCTCAGGACATGCTCCCCTCAGGAACTGTTTGCTCCACGGCGACTGCTATCCTGAAGGCACCATCTCTGAGGGCACGATCCTCGAAACACCACCTCAAGAAACCTCCTTTTCCCTCTGGACGTCCGAAGTGGGTACGCAACACTTTGGGTACGATGCCCAGCAGCAAATATTGTCCAACATCGACAGCGGCCGCTGTCGGGCAGGCGATCTTTGGTTTCAAATAGACAAAGTCCGCGGCGACGCCGACAACGAATCCTGTTCAAAATGAAAAAGAACTGCTGCCAATATCCGTCCGCTTTCTCTCCGTCCCAAGACCCGCTTGCTCCACGGCGACCCCCACCTTAATGGCGCCATATCTGAGGGCCCCATCCTCGAAGCACCGATCGGGGAGACGTAAGACTCGGGTTTGGGGGACTCGGATTGGCCTGACGAGGCCGCCGAGAAAGTGACGAGACCCAGTCTGAAATGTGACGCGATCTCCTGCTGCAAGCATCCCACGACAACGGGCCCATCAAAATCCAGGACGGGTCCGTCCCAAATCGTCGGCACACACGAGGTGCGGCATACTCGAGTCTTACGTTTCTCCAGACCGACTCAAGACCCCTCACCTTCACTCGGGGGCGGCCAAGAGGGGGGCGTCCAAGAGGGGGGGCGCAAAGCATAGCCGACAACATGTGCACAGCCCAGGGGGGGGCCCCAGGACGTAATGAAACAAGAAGAGGCGCCATGAAATCTGGGGAGACAGCGTGGCCCCCGCCTTGATATCCACCCCCCATGATCATCAAGCCCCTCTCTGCCGCACCCGACCTCGCCTTCAGGGCGAAACGTCCCGCGGCCGTGCCCTCACGGCCGGGCGCTGCCGGCGGCGAGTGCGGGCGGCGGCCGCTGCAGCGCAGCGGGCGCCGAAGCTCGGAGGACACTCCGCGAGTGTCCGCCGCCGCCTCAGCTTCGTGGCCGGCGTCTCGGGTCGGGAGGAGGAGGCGGAGGAGGAGGAGGCGGCGGAGGAGGAGCCGCTGGGCTCACCGAGAACAGAAACTGCGGCACTGAGCGCACTGAATGCAACGGAAGGCACAACTTGTGCCCTCACCTGAAGGCACTGGAGGCACATTTGTTTGCCTCTAGTGAGCTCACTGAAGGCAGCAAGTTTTGCCTTCGGTAATATTTATGCTTTCAGGGTGCCATTCCCCTCCCGCACGCACCACCTCCTCCTCCTCCTCCTCCTCCTCCTCCTCCTCCTCCTCCTCCTCCCACACCCTACTCCTCCCGCATCCTCCCCCTCCCCCAAAACCTCCTCCTCGATCTCACGTCTTCCTTCATTAGTCCCCTTCCTCCTCCGCATTGTCATGCCCCCTCCTTCTCCCCTCCTCCCCCTGGCGACCCTCTAGGACCCGCCGCAGCGTGGAGACGGACAAGCGCGGTAGCGCACGGGACAACGATTGTGCTACTGCTGCGGTCAGTAAGAGGCGGTAGCAAAAATAATGCCCCGTGCATGCGTCGGCACTGAAACACTTGAGACAAGACCGTGTCTGACGCGTTCAGGCGGACTGGAACGAATTAGAATACTCTTGCCTCGGCAGGGCCGGCTCCAGGGTAAAAAGAGGTCAACGACCCGTTCACCGACCCACCCAACAGGTTACCAATCTCGCCCGCCCCCTCCCCAAACATAGTTCACGTCGGCAATGGAACATGCAAGCTGGCACGTAGAAACTTATTAGATCTTCTGCGCGCAGAAGGGCGTTGGCCCGAAAACGAGTCGGGCAATACGAAGGCGACGCAACAGAATCCGAGAGGAAATTCGCCGATCCACATTGGGGTAACGGCGCGTGAGTCCTTTCCCTTCCATACCCATTTCGTGAGAGACAGGGATCGGGTCTTTCAGGGCAGTGCACAGGAAGGGAGAGAGGGGTGGCGGGGGAGCTTTGGACAAAAACTCGGAGAAACCCATAATAGTTCAAAGGTCACAACGAATTCCGCAAGATGGCCAGGGGGGCGAGATGTCAAATGAAAGGCTCAATTGGGGACTCCTCACCGTCATCGATACCCAGATAACTAATGATCGATAGCTAACTTCGCTGGGCAGTGAGATGACCCAGGTGGGTCCCGAGAGGCGGGCCTGCTGGCCCAATGTGGTCACCCTAGGCTTCGAAGAGAACCAAACAGAGCTTCCAGAAACATCTCTCCAGCCGTGCATCATCACCCCCGGCCCTACTCCCGCCCCCAGCCCTGAACGTGTTCCTGCTACTTATCTCCCTCGTTTCTCCCTCTTCACTCCTCCTCATGCTCCGGGCTCCCTCCCTGGGGCCCCCATTTCCCTCCTCCTCCTCCTCCTCCTCCTCCTCACCTTGCTCCTTGCCTTTCGGTCTCTTCCTCCCCTTCCTCCCCGCCCTCCCTTACCTCATCCGCCCCAGGGCGACTCCTCGGCTCACCGCGCGCCTGCTGGGGCCACTCGCAGGCCGCAACACTGCGAGGGGCACGGCGGACGCGCCGCAGGCCAGGACCTGTGGCTCGACATCGAAGGGCGGTGCGCACCAGGGCGAAGATGATGCCGCCGCACACCGAAGCGTCTCGCCTGCGGCATCGGATACGACGACGACGACGATGACGCTGACGCTGACGCTGACGACGACGACGACGACGACGATGGAGGGCTGGCCGAGACTACAGCGGCCCTCCCTGGCGTGTATCCTCCTTGCTGGGCCTGCCGTAGGCTGATCGCCGCCGCGGCTGCGCACGCCCCGAAAACTGGCCAAGATTTGGGCGTGGCTTACTGGGGGGGTCACAAATGGGGGGGTCAGAAAAGGTCCCCTTTCGTGCCCCTTTCGGGCCCCTCCAGAGCCCCAGGGGGCTCGTTTAGGTACCGTTTGGGTACCTTTTCGAACCACCCTCGCCCCCCCCCATGTATGACCCCCCCATTACGCAGCGCCCAAAAGATGCGCCCTGGGAGCAGTCCGGGGACAAGTTCTGAGCCGCGCGTGGGGGCCGCCGCCCTCGCCCGGCCCTCCTCCGAGACCTGTGCCGCTGGCGGCGAGGCAGAATGGCTGCACCAGCGATAGAGCTGAACGGGGGGCACCGAGAATGACCAGCCTCGAACTGATCCCTATCCCTAAGATGGGCGAGCAAAAAGCGAGGGCAATCTTAGGGATAGGCCCTCAGGAACTGGGGGAAGCCTCAAGATCGGCACCAAGATAAACTGATGTCAAACCTAGGGATAGGGATATGTTTCAAACTGGTAAGAGAAGCGAAGTGGCCAGCGTGCAGGAGAAGGAAGAGGAAGGGCAGGCGGCCGCGGGCCCTCCTCCGAAACACGGTCCTGGCGGAAACGGGGCATCCCCAGGGCCTCCTCGGGGACGAGTGCTTCCTCCTGGGCTGTCGTGAGCTGCCGTCTGGGGACGCGAAGCAGGGAGCTATGACCACGTCCGCATCCACGGCCTCGAGCCCAGGTGCCCAGGCTGCAAGCATTCAGACATTGCTATCTCCAGTGGAACTCATCCGACATCGGTCCCCGGACATTCCTATCTCCGGTGGAACTCATCCGACATCGGTCCAACAGCCGCTGTTGAGCAAGCGACTTTCGGCCTCAATTGAACAACGTCCTCGGCGACGCCGACTGCGAGTCGAGGCCACCTAACGTTAAAGCGGGCGTGTCCCCTACAGGGGGGGGATTTTCGACGAAAAATAAAGAATACGCAAAAATACTCCAAGATGGTCTAACATTACTCAACAAATAGCCCCCAGGCAATTTTTTCTATTTTTGAATATTCCCCCTGTAGAGGGGCGAGCCCGACTTAAACCTAGCTTCGCGCACCGCGCCACGCGATGCGCGGTTCTGTGCGCGCCCTCTCGCCCCCCCCCTTGGATGAAGGGGCCCTGGGACACACACACACACACACACACAAAAAAAAAATACACACAAATAACAGGCTTCCCCTATGTTTTCCAATATTTTCAGGTTTTTGTCTTCCCCCCCCCCAATTCCCACATTTTCCTATATTTTCTGGGGGATCGACGATTCGTTGTGTCTGTGTGTTTTTCTCCCTCCTGACCCTGGAGAATGGCAGCGCAGCGGGCCACAGCCGCGACGCGCGGTCCTCTTCGTAGGAACCCCGGCGAGCCCCGCTCGCAGAGAGTGGGCAGGACCCGGTGCCCGCCTTCGTCTCCATATCGTTCCCGCGCGCACGGCAAGATCGTGCCGTGGCGACTTTGACGCTCCTCCTCCTCCTCCTCCTCCTCCTCCTCCTCCTCCTCCTCCTCCTCGTCCTCCTCCTCCTCCCTTCTCACTACTCCCTCCTCCCTCCTCCTCCCTTCTTCCTACTCCCTCCTCCTCCTCCTCCTCCTCCTCCTCCTCCTCCTGCTCTTCCTCCTCCTTCTTCTCCCCCTCCTCCTCCTCCTCTGGTTCTCGACACTTCGTGGATCGTTCAACCCCCTCAGCGATCGCAGCTTCCCGACGGCACCAATGGCTCGATCACGGCCACTGCTGCGTCCGTGGCGGCGCTCGGTCTTCGGAAGGCGGCGGGGCCCCTCGGAAGCCCTCGCGCCTCCTAAGAAGAAGCCTGCGGCTTCGCAGAAGCCTTATAGTCAACCAGTATAATAAAGATGCGCGATGAGGATGCACGGGCCGTGGACACCCATTTCGAAGCTTTTCGGGCGGGGCGCGGCCAGCGACAGTGGCCAAGGATGGGCCGAAGCGGCAAGGATGCAAGGGTACCCTTGGGAAGGATGCCCATCCTTATTATGTGGGTTGACTGTAGGATGCCTCTTAAAAAGGGGGATGACTTCTGAGAACCCCCGCCGCCATCTGAGAAGACCAGCTCCCTCTGCCTTCTCGCACCCCCCCCGGTGCGCCGCCGAGATTCGATCACACGGATGCAATGCGAAAATGAGGTTGTGACAGGATTGGCTCAGGGTACTTTCCAGAAGTTCCACAGCTAGCGGCCCTCGATTCTGGAGCCCATGCGGAAAAATAACCTGGATATGTTGGAACGTATCCTTATCCTGACTTCAGATTCCTCTGAACTAGGGGCCTCCCAAGTGGGGTCCGATAGATGGGGTCGGCGGGTCGCACCGCATCGCCGACGTCGGTGGTGCATCGGCGCCGACGGCGTGAAGGAAATCGGGCTCCACATCGAGCCGCATCACCGATGCCTCGGCGATGCGGCGCGATGCCCAGAATTCCAAGGCGGATCCGGCCGTGGCCACGAGGGCGCCCCAGGAGGATCAGAGACGACCTCCCGAAAGACAACCTCGATCCCCGACCCTAGAACGTCCGAGCCTTCCAGCACGTGCACACCTCAAGCCGCACCGACTCCCTGCGAGCCGAGCCTCGGGGACGCACTGACCTGGGTCAGTGCAAACCCAGATCGGTCTGGCCCTGCAAAATCCTGCAAGATCCTGTGCGCTGACCCGGGTCAGTGCAACCCTGGCTCTCCGCAGGATCCCGGGGGGAAGAAAGGTGCACGTCTTGGGCCCGAAAGGTCCCGTTCGGGCCCTAGAAGGCACCTTTCGGCAGCCCCCGTTGCCCCCAAGACCAGCTCTTCATGCTGAATGATTTCTGACAGTCCCGGGGTCCGTGGAGGGCCCCTGGACCCCCCCCCCAGAATCGAAAAACATCAGGACCCGTTTCCCTCAGGACACGTTTCCTCCATGCCGAGGGCCCACAACAAAACGGTACCACTACCGCCAATCCCCGGACCTCTCCCAGGGTGCGTTCTGCTTAGCATCAAGTCGGGCGTGTCCCCCTATAGGGGGATTTTGGGCGAAAAATGAAAAACACTCAAAAATACCCCCCATATGGGCAAAAATAATTTTAAAAATCGTCCCAAGAATATTGTTTGACTATTTTGAGATATTCCTCCTGTAGAGGGACACGCGCGACTTAAGCTTACCATTTCGGAGCAAATCCAGCGGTGGCGACGAGGGCCACCCAGGAAGCCTCAATTAAGGGCCGCCACCCAGGAGACCCAGGAGGGCCTGGGAGACCCGCTTCCCCCGAGGAGGCCCAGGGGACCCAGGAGACCCAGGAGAGCCACGAGGAGGCCCAGGAGGACCCAGGGCGACGGATCCTTCTGCTGGCCTTCTGTTGCTCCCATCGCACTTAATGACCGCATCCCACAAGTCAGTTCGAGCACCCGGAGAAGTGTCGGAACAGTGCCGAAGCAGTGCCGGACGAGCGTCTCCCAGGGGCCCGACGCGCGAGAAGCCTGGGACTCTCCGGCGCTGCGTCGGTGCTCGAAATCCTTCCTGGTATGGTCCAGGCCAGAGCAGGCCGGAACACCACAATGCTGGCCCCCGTCGCCGCTGCTTTGGACGCCCGACATGGGTACGGGAAGTTCATGTCATGACGACCCTGGCGCTGGTTTCTGACACCGCGTGGATCGTTCAAGCTTGAATGATCGGCGGCTTTTCGATCGCCAGATCGACCCATACATAGGCCAATCCTGGGCCACTGGCGGCGTTCAACCTTGAACGCCCGCGGCCGGGTCGCCGCGAGTCGACACGACGCGGACCTACTGTACGGAAAGAATGGGTACAGTGTCCAACAACACATGTTGCCCCACACCCACAGGCGGCCGCTGCTGGCCAGGCGGCCTCCTGCCTCGAGGGGACACGGGCCGCGGCGGCGCGGGCAGCGAGCCCTGTTCGAAACGAACAGGATCCGCTGTTGGACATCGTACCCGTTCTTGCCGTACCCCTTTCGTCCGTGCAGGAGGAGGAGGGGGAGGAGGAGGAGGAGGAGGAGGAGGAGG